TGGAAGCTTTTAATTTACTGGGAGAGGTTCATGAGTCCTGCATTAAAGTAGTAACATTTATATGCTGAAAAAAAGAAAACCTTATGCCTTCGCCTAGGTTCGAACTAGGGACCTTCTGCGTGTGAAGCAGACGTGATAACCACTACACTACGAAGGCATGCTTTCTGTTTCCAAAAAACACTATTAAAATTTAAAACCGAGAAGTGCAGATTAACGTGTTAATAAGAACTTAAGCATAATTCTCATCTGCTAAATTAGCAAACTTTTATTCGAGATAACTGTCCAAGAACCAGGTCATATTTCTTCTCATTTTGTCCCAAAGTCATGTGATACGTAGCGTTCTATGAATGTTTTGTCATGCAAGAATATGTGCAATATATCCGCAATCCTGGGACGCGTCAGATGACCAACCGCTATGCCCACTAGTTGGTTTTGGATATCCAGCACTCTCTGCTATTCAACACATCATTCTAAGGCACAACGAAGTTCACCTTCAGTCATTTTATTCATTATGTGTTCAGTTCGTCTGGTAAATGCCTGAGGTGCGTAGGGTCGCAGACAAGAATCTCGCAGGCTTGAGTGAAGGATTTTGCTTGACCAATTTCTCCAGCAGAACGACCAAAGACTCTTTCCTATTCTGTTAGGTTAAATACGCCACGAAAAGATTCGAACTGTTCTTACCGCTGTCGCAGAATTTAACTCTCCTCGTGCGTCAAAACCAGTGTTATTTTGTGCTGTTCATTTCAGCGGTCATTCTTACTCCTTCGTTGCAGCGACCACCTGCTTTCCATGCAAGAGGTGGCGTTGCAGACGAACTTCTTTGGAATATACCATTCCTACTTAACCTCAAACTAGAATGGTTGAAGCAATTTCGATTTATGGGTGTCGTAAGCGGGGCTGGGAGAGTCGACTTAGTTAAACTGGTGAACCTCCTATGTCATTTGACTTCTGCACTCGGACATTCGCACAAAACTGCTCCTATAGAAAACAAACTCAGCTTGAGTCGAAAACCTTCAGGAATTATCTGTTTTTTACACATGATGACCAATCTGTTCTGAAATTGAATGTTAAACGACTAATTCCCTGGAGTTAATGCCAGGCTGCCATCCGACAATGAGAATTTTTAATTCGATATCAGCTGGCACAAATATTTTTGTCGTTGATTGCTTGAACATCAGAAAATGTTTGTAAGCCCGATAATGGAAAATTACGCATGACTCATCCAAGACCAGATCTCACGGAAATTCTAGATTAGGAGTACCAGCTTTTAAAATATCGTTACGTGACAGGTGCGAGTTAGCTCTAGCATTAAAAATGATGGGAGAAGCATTTGGCACTGCAGGGACTCAAACTCCATGGAGCCGTGGCCTGCTTCAGTGCCCCCTACGCTATTCGGAGCAAACTGGGTGCGCAATGAGCCGTTAAATGTGGCCTTTTAGCAGTTATTCGTTGGTAGTTGTCAGATGAGATTATCACATTGAACTGATGGCATAAACAGAACATTTCCGGTTTGTGATCGCTGCATCCGCAGCTTTTCAACACGTATAGAATTAAGCGCCGGTTACTGCATCATAGAAGGAAGGATTACTCTTTGAACGCATTTGATTCCCTTACCTCGTCCCTCCATGTTGCTTGCTGGTCTCTTGGCCGTCGTTTGCCGTATTTGGACTCCTACACGAAAAACTCATGGGATTGGGAAAATAGTTTATGTTCAACCAGTTTATCTAACACGGCCAGCTTCATTTTCATAATCTCTGCATCTACTGAGGTCACCTATGTCCGGAACAGAATAGAGATAGAGTCATTTACGTAGTCCTACCATTTATCGCTTTCTGTCATTAAGGCTACCACTGCTGTCCGTCCTCCCTGCTCCCTCTTTGTAACAACTGTCTTCAACAACGCTGACCTTGGAGAGGCAAAGTAAAAGCAATTTTTCTGGACAGAATTTCTCCTTTCTCAGCCA